TCTAGTTTTCTCGGGGCTTCAGGTTTTTCGAAAGTCTCTTAAGAGTGTTCACTTTAATTTAAAACCATCTTGACATTTGAAACTTGTTCAGGATATGATCGATTTTCTCCGCTAAACGTGATTATAAGGTCGTAAAAATCCAAAAAGCATATTTGCGTTAATGGGTTTTCCAGAAACCCTTTTGAAAAATCTTAGGGTTTCGTAAACTTTTTTTAAGATCTCCTGTAAATAAGATATAGAATAACTTAAATACTCTATATTCTGAAGGTTTGAACTCGTTCCGATGTTTATCGAGTGAAAAGTGAACTTTTAATAGTTGAAACCAGCTTGAAAACCTAAATTTTCGTAAAACTCACTTTTCGGTAGACTTTTAGAACTTTTTCTAAAAACAAATATTGCCACAATACTCAGCATGATCGATTACCAATAGTCACCGAGTGCCAGTCCTGGGACTCGCAAAAAATCCGACACAACACCCGAACCGCGGAAAGCCAAGGTCTTGCTTAACTCTCATTTTGAAGAAGATATCCTGGGCTGTCATAGCATGGAAGAAAATCAATACAATCCTGTAGAAAATTTTTACACACGACCTGGTTTTCCAAAGATCTCCTCGCTGTTTCTCTTAGGTTTTCAGTAAAAGCCGTTTTTCTCAGCAAGGAAAACGAATTTTGAAAAAATCTCTACGTACTTTTAAAGCTGGCGTGTTGGCCAATCTGATGGTGTGCAAATCACCGAAATAGTCCTTCACCCAAAAACCTAGATAGATTTACAAAACGAGGCATACCCAGTTGACAGCCGTTAGTTCGAACGTCCATGGCGGACGACTGTTTACCTCTGAAATGAATTGAAAACCTTTTCTAAATCAGTTTTCAATGCTGATTCAGAAAAATATAGTTCGACCCTTCAATCTTGTAATACAAGCTCAAGAAGTCAATTTCATCATAGAGGATGGTTTTGGGTATTTTTGAGGTCCTCTCAGTAATTTGAGTTTTTCTCCATGAAGAAATGGCTTTTGGAGGCTCGGAAGGTGTTATTCGTAATCAGCTCGTTAAGCTGAATCTGAATATGTATAATAATACCAAAAAAAATTTGACTTGAAGTTTATTTTCATTCATTCATGCATAGTTCATTATGTGCATCTTACCTGTTTCATTTATTTTTATTTTGTAAGTATGCTGCAACTATACTCTACTTTTCTAAAGCAGACACTTACATGGCTACCAAGTTTGTTCAACTCAGTAGAAATATCTAAATTTATTTTCGAAGTTTACATTGATTGATATTGTCCGTTTACATACAAGTTGTCAATGCAAAACAAAAGGGTAATTGACCCCAAGCGCTTGGCTGACCCGAATCAAGTGACGATACCTGGCGAATACTTAGAAAAGAACGTGGCAAGTGTTTGTTGCTTCTCACGTTCTTATTCAGGTACTTATCAGAGTTGCAACCGATCTAAAACTAAGGGGCCGGACCGAACCGACCGGCCCAAAAATCGTTTTAGACATGATGGCATGAAAACCTGCAAAAAAACCGGTTGCTTGAGAACTTTTGCCAGTAAACCTAAATATCTTTAAGGAAAAAGTAGTTTTCACTGGCTTTTTGTTATTTCTCTTAGATTTACCACTTTCTTCTTACCGACGGTCTTTTTTATACTCATGATTTAATTAAAATTGTGCGAGACAATAAGTGATCAAAACAAAAACTTTCGTACTCGCTGCTGAATGGGCGAAAAATTTAGCAGTCAGTTGAGAAATGTATGTCAGTATATTTCAGCATCCATGCTTATTTTCTTACATCACGTCGGCTGGGTAAAACACTCGGAAACACGCCTTCTCGTTACAAGTAACCGTTGATGTATTACTACATATCACTTTTCCATGAACACAGCGTTGATATACATGATGTATTGTATTTAACGTTTCATCTGATGTTTTTTCCTCTTCACTTAATATATAATCCTTTGCTAAATCTGAGTGATAATAATTAGCTCACGGTGTGAACAACGATGGTAGCTTGAATCCCAGTTGTTGTAAAGATGAAAATTTTTGTTTCCTTAGTGATGCTATTTTGGCCACAGAAGAAAATAAGTACGTTTGATGCAATCTACGTTGTTATTTCCAGCAGGACAAAGATCACGGGAAATCACACGAATACGACTGCCATGGGGTCATTCAGTCTTTTTCTGAGTAATTTACTAGCCAAAATAGTTAACTCAGTCCATATACCCCTATTTTTAGCCAGATCTTCCATGAAACAAAAAATACTTGGGGTATACCAAAAGTATCGAAATTTTGAAGAAAAAAAATACAGAAACAAGTTAGTCAAGATTTTATTTCATCAAATGTTCGACGTAGTTGTCCTGGTTATTTACACACAATTGCATTCGTTCAAACCATTTATCAAAAGTTTTTTTATAGTCATCTTTATTGAGTGAGTTCATGATCTCGGTTACGGCACGGTGCAAGGGTTGTGAGTCGCTTTGATCGGTGAGATTCTATTTGATCAGATCGAATAACCAAAAATCACATGGTGCGAATACGGTGGTTGTCGAATAAATTTGATACCTTCCGATTCGAGATAGGTCGAAACATCTTGTTGAACATATGGTTTGGCATTATCATGGTGAAGTTTGATGGCATGTATACTAGATGCTGGACTTTTCTTCCCAGGTGGAACTCATCTTACAAGATCTGCCGTTTTCTTATGAAATCTTGTAATAAGATCTTACTGCATGATCTTACAAGATCTTGCCTTAGGATGTTGTAAGATCCTGCGGAATCTTGTAACTTCTTGTCATAAGAGCTTACAGGATCAGCTCATAAGACGTGACAAGATCTTGTAACACGAAAGCGTATGATCTTACAAGTTCTTGCCACTGAGAGACGTTACTTGTATTTATTTCTTGTCGCAAGATCATACGATTTCTTGTTATATGATCTTGCAAGAATCCATGACTCATTTTTATCACATAAATTTTGCTATGATATTGAGTCTATATAAGTTCTTATGATAAAACTTAGAATTTCTTTCTTTCTTCGTCTTCACACATCAGCTGAGCGCAAATAAAGTGCATTGCTATAAGGAACGTGGTTAAATACGATTCTAAGGACATTTGTGTCCTACCTATGTCAGAAAATATTATGAATAGAGAAAGGTACTTTTTTAAGAGGGTCTAGAGGAAATTTATAGAACACGATCAGGCACATAATCTTATAAGGTCTGATGAATTCTTACGTGATCTTATCAGTTCTTGCAAGATCATATGAGATCTTACAGCTTCATATGCTATGATCTTATAAGATCTTACAAGATCCTTTGAAATCTTATAGTTTCCAAGACCATATAAGACCATAGGAAATCTTGATATACGATCGCTCGCCCTGGGTTCCGGATTCCATTGACAAACAGTTGCAAGCAATTATCGATGTAATAGTGGTGATCGTTAGTTTGTCCTCGTTCGACTTGATGGGACCAGTCGTCTTGATAAAGATACAAAACAAGGTTTTTTGGGACAAAGCGGCTACGTCAAACCACAGTGGGCGGAGTTCTTCCGATTGGTGCCCAAGCAGCGTTCGATACTTTTCAGCCAATTTGTTCATGGTAAAGCCATGACTCGTCACTTATCAAAGCACCACCTCGCTGGAACTTCGCCAAATTTTCTTGACAAATTCGAACTCGTTCGACTCGTTGGGTATTAGTCAGAAAGTTGGGTGTCCAGCTAGCGGTGATTTTTTTCAGCGTCTAATGATCAGAAATAATTTGCTCAATGATGCCGCGACTCATGCCAGTTTCCACTTGTATTTCATCAGTCGTAAGATGAATGAAATGATGTAAAGTGACGAAAATCGTCAATGAGGCAGCGAACTTCTTCAATATTTGCAGATATTGTCTCGGTTACAGGTTGCCCAGGTCGTGATTCATCTTCGATTTTTTCTCGACCTTCATGAAACCATTTTGCAACCGTATTGTAAGCTGAAGCTTGGTCGCCGTAAACAATATAATTTACGAATCGGTTCGGTTAAATATTAAGTGCAGTGTGCACTTTAATGTAGAAACGGAAATTTTCCTTATTCATCTAAAGCAGTGGTGCATCGCATTCATTTAAATTTTTCATGTAATAATGTTAACTGACTAAAGATGATATATTGGAGAAATATAGAGCACTCTTGATACTACAAGTACATATAGACAGAAATTTTCTTCAAACCTTCTGTACTTTAATATAATATAAATCTCGATACTTTTGGTATGCCCCAAGTAGTGAGTGACTCCTACGGTGAGAATAACCGCAGTCGAAAACGAAAAAGTTACACCCTGGAACTTTTTTAATTAATTTGAACTAATTTGAGAAAGTCTCATATTACATTCATTTAAACTAATTTTTTTGAAACTAAAAGTTAATTTGAATTGATTTAATTCGACAAACTAATTCAAACCAGTTAAATGATTGAACAAGAATGCATGCCTGTCTACAAGAATGCCTGTGTTTACAAGAATGCAGCTACTTAAGTGAATTTTTAATTAGCGGTAAGCCTGAATGGCGTGCAATTCATATGGATGATAGACCTTGAAATTTTCTACAAGATTGTATAATCTTTAGCAATTTTACTCAAAACTTTCCGTTGAAACTAAATTGTTTAAGTAATACCGGCCGTTTTTACTGTAATGGCTATGATTACCTGAAGGTACACCTTGACCTGATCATCATTATTCTTCGAAACTTTAGTAGAAATATTCGATAGGAGAAAAAAAAATTGCCTCTTTATTTTAGATTAATTTGTTAGATAGCAACAGAACGCACATGATTTAATTTATAATTGTTGATGTTTGTTGCAGATATAATTCGAAAACTATCTGGTAAACATATATTTATCGTATATGTGTGGATTTTCTTCAACTCGAAATCCTTTCTTTTAAATAATTCTCATGTTTTGTTTACCGTTTGCAGAAAGCCGCTAAGTTTACTGAGTATTATTCATCCTATCTCGTCTTCAACAGAAATGGAAACCAATATTAAATTCGACAATTTAGCGTTAAAAACTCTACCCATTGATACTGTCGAGGATAACTATGTTAGAACTGTACCAAATGCATGTTTTTCTAAAGTATGCCATTTAACAACTAACGATTGTTCAATTACATAGTTAAGAGCATTACTTGTTTGTTTACGTCTAGGTGAAACCAACCCCAGTCAAAAGTCCAAAGTTAGTTGCATGTTCAGTCGATGCATTGAAGCTGATCGGTATTAACGAGGAAAATATGAAAGTATGCTAATATAAGCAAACAGATTTTCTTTATGCAAATATTTTGTACCTTTAGCACAAAAGAGAATTAGCTGAAATATTTAGCGGAAACGTTTTGTTGCCTGGTAGTGATCCCGCTGCACATTGTTATTGTGGACATCAATTTGGATATTTTTCAGGACAATTGGGCGATGGTGCAGCTATGTAAGTATAATAATCTCTCTGTTCTCGAAATCAATAATATACAGAGACTATAAATGTGTCATTATATTCATAGAGAAGATAAGCGTTATATATAATATAATTAAGCGTTCAGTTATATTTATAAACTGTAATTTTTATCTGTAGATATCTTGGCGAGGTAATTAATGACAAACAAGAACGTTGGGAATTACAATTGAAAGGCGCTGGGTGAGTAACACTTTCATGTATTTGAGTTAGAACAGATAACGGGACACCACTCTCAACATTGTACGTCGAACGTTCGTATTCACTAGTTCAATTAATACTTCATTATGCTTTTGGGTTATTTCAGTAAAACACCTTATTCAAGATCAGCGGATGGAAGAAAAGTTTTGAGAAGTTCAATTCGAGAATTTCTTTGTAGTGAAGTAGGTTCTTTTTCATGGAAAACCGCTCGATTTTCATAAAATGTCTGAGTTTTTTCTAGGCTATCTATTATTTGGGAATTCCAACAACTAGAGCTGGTACCTGTGTTACATCGGATGACTATGTTGTCAGAGATATATTTTATGATGGTCATCCAATCAATGAACGATGCACTATTATTTCACGAATTGCACAAACATTTATCAGATTTGGTTCATTTGAAATATTTAAAACCATTGATCCTTTAACAAATCGACAAGGGCCATCCGTGGGACGAAAAGATATTCTCATACAATTAACAGAATATGTCATATCTACATTTTATCCAGATATAGCTGAAAAGTATTCGAATAAAATTGAAGAAAAGTACTTGGCATTTTTTGAAGAAATCGTATTACGAACAGCACGTTTAGTTGCCGAATGGCAGTGTGTCGGATGGTGTCATGGTGTTTTAAACACAGACAATATGAGCATTATAGGCGTCACAATTGACTATGGACCTTATGGATTTTTGGATCGTTATGATCCGAAGTTTATTTGTAACGGATCAGACAGCAATGGACGCTATTCTTACAAACAACAGCCAATTGTTTGTCGTTGGAATTGTGAAAAACTCGCTGAAGCACTATCTCCAATAATGTCAGTAGAGAAAGCAAAACAAATTCTTCAAAAATTTGATATAGAATATGAAAAATATTATTTAGATAAAATGAGACGAAAACTTGGTCTTGTACAAAAGCAATTAGATTCTGATAAAGAATTGATCGATCAATTTTTATCTACGATGTATGAAACAGGAGGCGATTTTACAAATTCATTTCGTACATTATCGTTACTTCATTTACCGGGTACGATTCATTTCGATAAAAAAGTGGAAATATTTAAAACAAATATTTTACAACAGTGTTGCAATTTGGATGAATGGAAATTTATAAATAAACCAGATATTGATAATAGGTAGGAAACACATTGTTTGTTTGCATTTGGTTAGCTGTAAACCAAAGTAAAATTTGAAAAAGATTCTCCTTTGCTTGTCTTGTCCCGATATCATTTAAATAAAGCAAAAAACATTTAATTTTTTCGTATTTTCAGAACATTACAAATGTTATCTGAATTAGCCGAGCAAAATGACATGTTTTTACAACAATTTGGATTTAGTGCAGAACGTATACAAGTTGAGAAAATGAAATATGAAAAACTGAAAAATATCGAAGTAAGTGTCCTATTTCTACGATGTACAATCTATTTTGAAATAGTAGTATGTAAGAAACTTCTTTCATTTGAACGGTAGATGATATTCTCATCTATTACACAAGAACATAATTGTGATCAAATATCATTACTTATTTTTTTGTTTTTAGCAATTGTCTTCGGATCAAAAACGTGACGCTGATTGGAAACAATGGGAGAAATGGCTTGATCTCTATTTGATACGATTGGAAAAAGAGATTGATAGCAACGACACCAATGACATTGATCGACTAAATAAACAACGTTTAAAAATAATGAGAGAAAATAACCCAAGGTAAAAACATCATACGTGAATAGTTTACAGAATGTACGTGTTGAATATGCGTAATTTTTTTTTGTTTTAGAATTGTTTTACGAAATTATCTGGCTCAACGTGCAATTGAGTCAGCTGAAAAAGGTGATTACAGTGAAGTTAGAAACTTATTAGAAGAATTAAAACACCCGTATGATGGCACGGATAAAGACGAAATCGATTTACAAAAACCCGACGAACGAATTCAAGGCGGTGAACAAGCTCAGGCTGCAACAGATCCGACAGAAAAATGTGAGTAGCATTAAAACATTGAATTTATATATATATTTTTAGACAGTTTGATTAAAGAAAAACGTACATGCACAAAATATAGAAGTTTTATAGAAATTCTTTATTGAAAGTCCTCCCGTTTGCAGTGGACTTAACGCTTCATTTCAACAACTATTGTCCATTTTGAAAAAGAATGGCTGCTAATGTTTTTTGAATAAAACTTTCAATAGAAAGAGGAATGATTTTCGCAAGGCGGAAACGACCTTATAAAAGAGTGCACACACTTATAAGTGACAGGCACTTTAAGTGTCACTTAGCCATTTTAAGTGACACTTTAAGTGCCACGTTTATTTTTCTGTTTTGAACAAGATTTGAGCAGTAGTGATTGCTAATTTTTCCTCGTTATGGGTAAGAAAACAGAACTCATTTCGATTTTTGCTACCCATAAAATACATGATATTGAATGTTTATGTTGCTTTATAAAAAGAAGGTTAGAGGTGTATGAGATCTTTTTTCTCGTGCACATTCTGATGCACATGCATGTGGTAGGGCTATTAAGCCGGGACTGTTAGCCCAGTACCTGACTAATATTCTTCCTTGATAATTGCTCTGTTCAACTTCAAACGTTCGAGTTTGTTTCAACGAGTTTATTCGAATAAAATGTCAAAAGAGAACGGAATTTTCATAGAATGGAGAACAGAAAATTATGTTTGTATTTTTTGAAGAATGGCATTGAAAAGAGAACGGTTTTTAGTTTAGTTTAAAAACGTTTAAAAGAGAACGGTCAACTGTTTATGTTTGAAAGATTTAGAACATAAACATGAAGAGAGGACGGATTGTGTAATGATGGAACTTCTGCTCCTGGATGAAGATATACGGCTTGTCAGTGCAAGTCGAGATTGTTTCTTACAATATTTCATAAAGTGTCTATCAAATCAGCATGGACAACGATAAAAGATTTGAAATCTTGAAGTATGGTGAGCATAATCATAATAACAGAGCATCAGCAACACGTGTATCATCTCCTATTCGAGGTAACGTAAAAACTTATGTAGCAGCCGGTCTTTCCGAGACTCTGATACGACGTGCAGTAACAATCGATCATCATCAGGCAACGACCCCAAAACAGGTTCGAAGTTTGGTTGGCTACTATCGACGCAAAAATTGTCCAGGTTCATTTTCATTAGAAGATTTGAGAAGCTGGTGTGTACAATAAGATGATGAAGACGTTTTACTGTACATATATAAGAGAATTTTTGATGTTCATCTTTACTAGAAGTCAATAAAGTAAACTTAAAAGTAGATTTACCTTCCGTTCTCTCTTTAAATTACATGACCGTTCTCTTTTCAGTCGTTTTTGGCTAAAATTAAAAACCGTTCTCTTTTCTTACTTTTTATTTCCGTTCACTTTTAATTTCAAATTTTAATTTAAATACCGAACCGTTCTCCGTTATATACAAATTCCGTTCTCTTTTAAATACCTGTCCATTTTATTCTTCTCAAGTAAAATTATCAGAATTATGTATAAGAAGAAAAGAGAGAAAACAGACGAAATGAAAGAATAAGATAGAGACCTTACTCGATGACGTTATTTCGAGTGAGCAGCACCCATAACTGAACGAACGATTAATAATAGAGAAAAAGAAAGACTGTGATAAACCCATCGCCCGTCTATACATAGTAAATTAACAACAGTAAAAAGAAAGAGAAAAATAACTATTGTCTTGTCACTAACCGGCTGATCTACATTGACAGAAATAGTTACGGTCTAGAAATAGTTTTCGGTTTTTTACTGACATTTGTAGTTGCTTTCTAACTTTGTTCATTAAAATGATGAAAACAAACAGACTCGTATGACGTGGAACAGCCGCAGTCCATACATTGTATATTTCGGAAATATAGGGTTGAATTCTTGAATTTCCAGGAAGATGCGGAATTTGAAATGACACTTAATCACTTAAGTGACACTTCACAACTTAAACACTTAAAGTGACACTTAACTCTGAGGTGCACACACTTAAAGGCACTTAAAGTAAAGTTTTTTCCCCTTGGATTTTCGCCACTCGAAAGAAGCGACTTGGGAACATCTTTTCATAAAAGAAAACATTATAAAAATATTTTTTCAAAGTCAACTTTGTAGCAGCTTTAAGTAGAAAATATTTCGAATTTTTCTCACGAATCGGTAGCGCAGGGTGTCTTCTTCAAAATGTTATTCAGACGAGCTTTTGATCTGTCACTGTTTAGACGTGGCATAAGATTACTTTAAAGCACAATGATTAGTACCTTTAAAAGTCTCATAGGAAATTGGGGACATAAGCTATTGATGATGTTGAGTCTCATGGCATTGTTTGTTTATCAATAAAAGTTAAATGATCTAGTATAAACTTATTAGTATAAAAAGAGTGTTTCAGATATCTGATGACATCTGAACATCTAGCTTATGAAAACGATTTTTCTGCATCTTTTCGCGTTGTCAATATAAACAACACTACTCGAGCTCGATATAACCTGAAGTTTTGAATTAGTTTGAATCGGTTTTAAGAAGACGGAAATTCTCTAATATTCAGTCCCACGAGCTTAAAACTGAGTATTTACATAAAAAAACTGGTTTATATGAGATCTTTTAACGTTTGTTGATAAACAAGCAGTGCCATGAGACTCAATATCATCAACGGCTTATGCCCCCCAATTCCCTATGAGACTTTTGAAGGCGCTGATCATTGTATTCTAGGGTAATCTGATGGCACGTCTAAACAGTGACAGATCAAAAGCTCGTCTGAATCACATTTTGAAAAGGACACTCTGCTCTATCGATTCGTGAGAAAAAATTCGAAATATTTCTATTTAAAGATCTGCTACAAAGTTGACTCTGAAAAAATATTTTTATAATGTTTTCTTATATGAAAAGATGTTCCCAAGTTTCTTCTTTCGAGTGACGAAAATCACTGCTCTCTAGCCTCTTTCTATTGAAAGTTTTATTCAAAAAACATTTGCGGTCGTTCTTTTTTGATATGGACAATAGCTTGTGTTTCATACGATATACTTAAAAAAATGAGATGATATTTAGAGTTGTAGCATGTCGTATAAGTAATTCAGATGAAAGCTGCTTTCTTTGACAAATTTTCTTCTTTTGTTGTAGGTTATACTGGTGCTTGTTTGAAACCAAATATTTATGAATCACGACCACCAATTAATGCTAGTCGTATTCGTGTTACTTGTTCATCGTAAATTTAACAATTTAAAATTTGTTGACATTTTTTTTGTTTGTTTTTATTATCTTTCTCATTCCATAATCAGTCATATTGGAATAGATGATGATAAAAACGTAAAGAATCTATCGAAGATTACCGTTTTTATTTGAAAATATATGATTGAACATAAGAGATGTTACGTTGTTTTTCCGTTATCTTTTATTTTTTGACGGATTTTTCTTGTTTTTCTCTTTCATTTTTATATATTCATGTAGGTTTTATTACATTAAATTATTCATGCAGTGTAGTACAACAACTGTCTTTTTTATTTGAAAAAATAAACAATATGTGTTATGCAAATGTTCTTAATCAACTGAACTTGTTTATCTAACTTCTCATCCAGAAAAAAAGGCTCCACATTACGTTCGACTCAGAGGATCTATAAACCAAACGTAGTCCAGTCTCGGCATACTGACTTGTTCAGTCCCATACTGACTTGTTCAGTCCTGACTTCTTACGATCTTTTTCAAGATCTCTCTCAATTCAAGATTTTGGTTGCACAAAAATGCTTAACTAAATCTAGTATCTCAAACTTTCTCCAATCTTATTCGCTCAACATGAAAAGATAAACAAAATGAAAATACGGCCAAAAGTGATAGTTAAGGAGAGATTTTTACTAATCTAGGTAGAAATATGACAGAATAAGCGCTGGATGCTGCAAGAAAAATATAAGGTGTTGTAACGCTGAAAGAGAAGTTGACTCTACTAGAAAAATCAACGAGAACAGTGAAGGAGAGTAACATCAGAGCTGGATTAGTATGCGGACGGTCGATAATTATTTACTAAATAAGAGAATTTCTTCGGTGAAATTCATTGGATGGAAGTTTTGGATTTAAACAAGGACTAGATAAGATTTCATTTCCTGTTTTCATTTTTTATAGTCCTGTCATAAGTACTAAGATATTCACAAAAACAGTACTGTCTATAGTGTAGAATGGTGAATATCTCGATACTTGTAGAAAAACGACTACAGGAAATGAAATCTCATTCAATCCTTGTTTAAATCCAAAACTTTCATCCAATGAATTTCACTGAAGAAATTCTTTTATATAGCAAATAATTATCGACAGTCCATATACTAGAACAAGACCAGTTGGTTAATGGTCGACTGATTCGATCCGGTACTTTCGAACCGACGGGTTGATTTTATTTCAAAAAAAAAGTTTCATTTTTTTTTATAATAAAAATCAGGTGGTGCAGAAAAAAAGGAAAGATCTGAGCCTTTCCTTTTTTCTGCATCACCACAAATCAAAAGATAAAGAATATTAGGGATAGTAAATTTCGAAACTTCAAAGCACAATTTGACCTTACGTTTCATAAAACTATGTTCGTTTCTGAATAGAAATATTCTTTTTTCTCCGTTTTATATGATCTGGAGATTTAGAGATTCATACAAGGTTAAAGATAAACGGAAACTAAATAAATAAATAAGAAACAAGACAAAACAGAAGCACAAAACTGGAAAAAACGAAGCGATATGGTAAGAAAAGAAGTAAAACAATGATAAGAGAGGCGGTGTGGATAGATGAGAAGTTTTGTATGGTGTGTGCTAAGATAAGTGCAATAGTTCTACGTGCCAAAACCAACCAATCAACTTGAATTCTTCACGCTGAAAATTAGTTTTTAATAGAAGCAAATTCAGATTTATCCCTGTATGATGTGGCATCAAATCGAAGAGTTTTTAGAAAAATATAGTTTGATAAGATGTATAATAATGGTAGATAAAGAAGAAATGTTCAATATGTTCGGACAGTCCACATGAACAGAATCACTTAGAACAATTTTTTTACGAAAAGGATTACTGTTTAAGTCTGAAAATCTGCATCTTAATTGATAATATACTTGGTCGTATTTTTCTATCGATATTGTATACTCTATAATCATTTAAAGTTTTTGACTTAGAGATTAAAATATTTTTAAAAGACAAAAGTTTTGTACAAGTTTGGAATTGAATGAAAGCTTCATTTGTTGGTGAGATAAGACAGATATTTAGAATTTTGTATTCATGCAAAAAAACATTATTTTTAATAGACTTCAAGATATCAATTCATCCTAATTAGTGCTAAGTATTTTTTTTGTTTATCTGTCAATCTTTTACAACCTGATACTAAACTAGAAGATGTTTACAGGTTTACTCGTTCAAACGATGATGCCGGTGGTCATCTGACTATATAAGCTCAAACCCTTTTCTCCAAGTTATCACGATTAAATATAGACTAGTATCGCTCGTACTTGTGATCAGATATTGAATAATCCGCTTAAATCATACATAGTGTTGAACTATCATTGAAGAGAAAACGCATACATAGATGCAATCCCCTAACTAGTTCGAATTTCTTTGTTGTTATATTTTGCTTTAAAATTCGTTACTATATGTTTTACTAATACGAGGAACACATATATAATGATGTAGAATTTGATGATCTATTTTATTATATAAAAAGATCATTAATTGACTCTTATTACTTGATTAAGACCGATGAGACGTACAAGATGTTTTCTTCTATTTATTTGTTCAAACATTCATTCAAATAGAAGTAAATTCACAGAAGAAATGAGAATAGTAAGTGTCAAATGACTATAAGACATACAAAAAGTATGATATAAATACAAATACAAACAAAGACACGAAAATATTTCGTGTATATGAGAACGAATTTCAGATGATATTTTAATAACTGTTTCACGATACTTACGTAAGACTAAAATTATCATTAAACAGCGAAATTTCAAAACACGACGTAAAAAAAAAAGGCAAAAAAACACACACGGTGAAGGAAACATTATCTATAATTCCCTTCAGTTTCTGTTTTAAACATGCTTAATTCATCTTCAAGTAAACGAATACGATTGTCTTTTAGTGTTAATAATTCACGAACTGATTTTAATTCCTCTTGCTGTTTCATAAATGCTTGTCGATACTAAAAAGAATGAAACAAACAGTTCATAAGCGAAGTTGAAGAGTTTGATTATATAGACCAGCTGTAGAGTCGCTACGTTTACATTAGCAAGTATCTCATTTCTCTATGTACACACTTGATAGCTAAGATATGGAAAAATGATCCGATCATTTTTCCATACCATCGAATGGTCGTCTTTCGGAAAGACAACCATTCGATGGAGTTTTCAGAAAGTTTCTACTATGTACCAATAAAGATTGTTACATTTTGTTGTTCTGTATACTAATATATTTAGTTAGCCTCTAGCTGTTTTTGTCTGAGATATTAACTCAACATTGCAGATATATGGAAAAAACACTGTGTAATATTTGGAAAAATGTACTTTTGATCACCAAATCCCTTCTACGGTAGCATCACTTAAGTAGGAGAAAATATATCTGTTTGGACATGCTGTACTTTTTCGTTTTCCTAACAGTTGAATATGTGTCTTATCACTAATTCGATAGAAATCAAATCAAACAGCTGATCCACATATTCTACAGCATATTTACACGAATATAGTTTCTTATGGTATTGTAGGCTTGATCAGATATTATTCTCGTCAGTGTCAGACATTCAATTATTTTTTTTAATATGATAACAATCTCTTGATTAGTAATATCATTCAGATTATAGTTTTTTTCCATCTGACTATGCTTCCACAACTGTAGAACTGCTAAAAATTGTAACTGTTACATATATCTAGTAGCATTACAGTTATGTGTATGTCCCGTTGGATTATCAATGCTGTTGGATCAGTTTTTTTATTTGATTTCTATTAAGTTAGTGATAAAACACATATTCAACCGTTAAAAGTACAGGATCTCCAAAGACTCTGATATTTTATTAACAGATATATTTTCTCCTACTTAAGTAGTGCTACTATACGTGATAAAAAAAATTCATACCCACAGTAGTGCAACCCAATTTTTTCAATAAACGCCTCCTGCTAACCAATAATAATTTTATCATATAATCTTGACCATGTTCTAACAGGATGCATTTTAGAAAATTATCATGAACTTGTTTATGAAAAAAAAATGGGCTCCTCACATGAGGATAATTGGCATCTTTAAGAACAAATTACGTATAACTATATATTAGGTTCTTGTAGAAGATCTTATTAAAGAATACAAATCATCAAAAAAAAACTTCTCTCTACAAAAGTCCTCAAACCTGCTATTAATATGTAATTTTTTATACACAATGTAATATTTGTATAGATATAACATCTGACTCATTGAATTCAACTAAAGTAGGTGGTTGAAATTTTTTGATAGCATTTTGTTCTTATCACGATGAAAATTTCATCGAATATTAACAACTTAAGCGTGCGACTTTTGAACATTCGTACAAGCAATGATTTTTAACACTCTAAAATATTTTTTGTCAATCGAAATAAATTTTACTTACATCTATTCCATTGTTTGTGTATCCGTTTGAATGGTCACTACCATTGTTATTTGTTGTTGTTGAATCAACGCTCCATACCTTCTTTTTTATCTCGATATTTCGTCGATTTTCTTGTTGTTGTTGACTGGTTTTTGCGTCGTTGAAATTAAGAAATTTCTCTCTAAAATGAAAGAAAATAAATTCTTTATTAGAAAAAAGCTTATATAATTTGGTAAGCAAGCGTTGCTGGAACAAACACAAAATCAGAGAGAAATTGGTACAGGGAAACATGCGCGCATTTATTCATGCTGTCGCATATATCATTGATCATGCAATTGTTCACACAATGAATGTTTCTACCTATTTTTAATATTCAGATCTACTGCCGGTAGTTCTGATTTGTGATGATGAAATGAAAATGAACGATTTAATTTAGAATCATTCGTTGAAATGCCACCATCTGTATTGCGCATTGATCTAGATGCCTTTACACACTGTGAACGGTCACCATCAGTTACATCAGTTTGTGTTACTGGAGTAGTGGGGATCGGAAAAGGTATTTCATTCACTTTTTGACCAAAGTCAAATGGTTCGGTAAATGAACGTTGTGCTGCTAGTTTAATTGAACGAAGCTTTCTTTTCGGTGCAGGAATAGATGTAACAACTTGTTTCTCATTTTCGATCGATGGAAAAACCGATTTAAAATTTTCATTATTAATTGATGTCTCTTGCTTAGGTAATGATACATCAACATTATCATAGTGTTCATCTTTGAAATAGGCAGCAGCTGATGGGGAAAATATTGTCGATGTAATTAGAGGTTCTTTAACGTAACTTAGCGGGAATCTTGGAGTGTCGTCCATGTTGATGTTCAGTAGTGGTCGTAGTTGTCCTTCTCTCATATGAGTCTGTGTCACTGATCGTTTTAAAATTGATGATGGTTGAGCCGATGCATGTTGATCTCGTTCAACCGTTTGTTGTGGTTTATTCGGACGTTTGTTTAACGGTTCTCTGTTGCTTTTTGTGTATTGCTCACAGAGATTTTCAATAGAGGAAGAAGATTCGTAAGATTTGAGTTCTTCAGCAGGATCACAATGGTCTGACAAATCTGGCGCTGAACGGGTATGATTGACAGAATGCACAGAATGAAGAGTTTTATATAAATGAGGTCGACCTGGAGTATTAACACTATAAATCAAACGACGATATTGAAGTTCGTATTCACAGCGGAATACGTTCAACTATATTCTAAGTATGATTCATTAAATTAACCGTTTCACTGAATAACACATTACAACTCTCTAGTCTAATAGTTGCACAATACAAAAACATATTCGAACTATATGATGAGATTCATTATTAGATATACTTTATGAGAACTCATCATTTTACTCTTGCTTTTAACGATCAATCAAACAACACGCAATTATATTCTAAAAGTTCAAGCATCACTCTTATATACCTACTATCATCAGACTTTTTTTCTGACATCAATGGCAAAGATGCACAAGTTGTTGATTTTAGTAGTATAGCAGATATTTGAGATGTTACCCTTATACATCGTTCTTAATTTTCGTCGCTGAACAGCATTCGTTGATTTCACTGCAATGTCTACTCTGTTTTTATACAAATTTCTATCGTTGATCTCTACGGTGTTAGCACTACTAGGCTTATCGATCACATTTTTTGAACTACTGAAAAGTAACTGGTATGCACTTTACGATTAGTCTAAACTTTTTAAAAATGCAATATTTACCTGACATTATTGAATTCAGTACTATTCGATGGCATTTTCAACGATTCTATCTTTCTCAGTCCTTTATTATTCGATGGTACTGATGGTTTTAGCGTTGGTGACGTTTCTTGTTGTTGACCATTTTTTTCCAAATTTATTTTATTATTTCGTTTTTCTAAATCAAGATCATCATCGTTATTACTATGGTGTTGTTGTGGTGGATGGGCGATTGTTTTGTTAATTAATGTTGGTGCTATTTCGGCGACTGGTGGTGGCACTGTTCGAGTTGAATGATGAAGATGATTGTTGCGTTGTGCGGATGGAGGAGTTTGACTAGATGAAGGTTCAATTGTACGATAAGTAGTGATTTTTGGCATATTAGTTTCGGTTCGATCTTTCATTGACACAAGTATTGGTTCTCGGTCACATCCGTTAATCCATTCGTCAGCTGATAATGCTGGATAGGGTCCGGGTGTATCTGGATAAATATCAATTTGAAAGGCTTCAGCTTTTCGAGGAACTATGTGGAAAATTAAGGTTTATGTTTAATTTTCTCTCAAAAATGAACTTTTTCTGTTTACCTATCATTGAGATTGGTTCACAAATAGATCCTGTAGCAAATAATTTGTAAAATCTCATTATCTCATTTTTTGTTACATCAAGACCGACTTTTGGCATTACACCTGAAATTCATAGTAAATTTACTATAAAATTCCACGTGATTACATATTTGATACTAACCTAAACATCTTTGTGGGGATGCTGATTTGTATTCTGATAAAAAATGAAGATATGGCTCTGATTCGCCCACCTCATAATAACGAATATTTCCATCGCCCTATAAAAATGTCACTTTATGCACCAGAATTCAAGACACTATATGTTTTACTTACTTTTCCTGCAAGGTACACTGTTCTTGTGTCGTGATCATAAAATGGTATAAGGGCACCAGCACTAAAATCAACAGTTTCCATGAGAACTGGTTTCGATAAATCATTCTAAAATAGATCAACAAGTGAGATTATGGCAAATTAGATGTAATCCGAATGAAACTATACCACATTCCATATTCCAATTTGTCTTTCAAATGTTTTTCCAAACCCGGTTGACAGTAATCGTTGTGCATCACCTAGAAAAACTATTTTTGATGTTTTTGGACCTTGATGACCAATACCATCCTTTTTAAAAAATAACCAAAAAATGAAATATGAAATATAAGTCTTTTCCTAAAACCTATATTACCGCCACAACTCTCCCAGATCTGGGTTCAATAACTCGAATTCGTTTATCTTTGCATGTTGTAGCAAATAATGTTCCATTTCTATTCCATGTTATAGATTGAATTGAATCTGGATGACATCGATAGACATGAATGGGTTCGGCTCGTTCAACATTCCATAAAACAACCTTTTTAATTTAGATTTGAATACTAAACCATCATTCATACAGTAATTATAAATCTTACCTGATGATCTAATCCAGCACTTAAAATGAGATTTTGAGCTGTTGGGTGCCATTCAACATAATCGACCCGTCGCTGATGTCCATGTAAATCGACTTTCCATTGATACATATCATTTCGTAGGCCACTATCGGGAATATACCATACTTTCACCTGTAGATACGAAATTATGTCAACATCTTTTTTGAACAGAGTACATTATTCTAATGAATATTTCTTACTGTTCCATCATCAGAGCACGATGCAATTTCATTATCATTAAAAGGATTCCATTTGATATCTACAACAGGTCCTCGATGACCGGTCACACGAAAATGATCAACATCAACTCGTCCAACCTAAAATTTGATATTAATATTGAATTGATATATAATACGTCTCAGTTACAACAACATCAGTACCTACTTCACTTAATTGTAATACAAGAAAACTTCCACCGCCTGATGTTTCTGTAACAATAGCTAAAAATTTTCCATTAACAGCACAAAATCCACCATCATGTGCATTTCTCGTTATCGGTATATTTTTATAGCAACAATCTTCTCTATATGGACTACCGTATACATGACGAAATTTTGATATTCGAACTTTAAATGGCATCTAAATTAGAGCAGAAACAACGTTATTCTATTGCCTAAGATATACATAACCTTTTTTCTAATAGTAATTTGTATATTTAACAGAAGAACAAAAAATCATTTCAACAACAGCACATAATATTTAGCAATTTTTTACTGTCTGTACTTACGCAAGCGATGAATGATAGGAAAATGTTATACTAAATTTTAATTTATATTATTCATCTGCATAGTCCGGATGTGTCATGTCTCAATATTTATGATAGGATAATAATCTATTATATATAATTTTAAAAATAATTTATTATCACGGCGTGTCTATCTAATGTTTTATGCAAATGGAGTCAAATTGATTGAAAAAAATACTTTAATTTAATAGGATACGGAATTAAATTGAAAGTTATATATTATCAGAAATGGAACATGACTGTTATATGACTCATTTATTTTTAATGCAAACATTGAACGAGTAGAAGGAAAAATGAACATTGCGTTCATCATTGGTATATATATTTCTTTACGAATAGAGTTCTTGTTTAAGAAAAAAGAACGATAGCAAAAAAAAAAAAAAGAAAATAATCTTTCTCATTGAAAAAACTTTTTTTTTTGATTCGTTTGATGGCGTTTTTTGTATGATTCATTTCATTTCTGTAATTTAGTATTAATTCAGTAGACACTTAAAATAACATCAGGAAAATGTTCAAAAGATAAATTTCCTTTTTTTTTGCTTTTGTCTCTTTTTTCTTTCTTCTCTAGAGTATTCATCATTATAAATTTATCCACAATTACTTTCAGTGGAAAAAGTATATACGACTACTAACTATTCAATAACAGATATGATACAGCAGAAACAGGTGTTTCTAATGTAGATAACCATTATGACAGCGTGTAACAAGTCATTTTAAACATTATTTACAAAGAAATCTGCGCAAATAGCCATGAGAAATTTCAATTGTTCGTGTTAAATGAGCAAAATTCTTTTGTTTTAGAGTTCTGTTATTTTCGTCATCGTAATTGCGTGCAAATTAGTTAATTAATTTACCGTAAATTTTTTCTTCTGGTAGAATGAATTATATATATATATACATATATTAGAGACTTGCAACTCGATCCGACGTTCGACTTTGACTACGAAATCAGTTGGATTTGAATTTTTTTTTCAATGCCGCTTTCCTCTTTTTTTTATGGCATGTCCAACACTAGAGTTGATCATTTTTTAGGCATTCTTTTAGAAAACAAACAGGAAACAGCAATTCCCCAAGCATTTTTTGACGTTTTAGGTTAAAACAGCTCAAATTTTTAACTAATTGTCGAATGTCGGATCGGGTTTGAGTCTCAAAGAAGAACATCGGATCGAATTCGGGTTTGATATGTCTAATCCACGCAGGACTCTAATATATATATATACTGAAATATGTTTTTTTTTTCTCTTGTTTTAATGAAAACAGATACAAGGACGCTTCCTTATCTTATGCGTATCTGTTTTTTTTTTATAGTGTGTTTCTTTTATCTCATTTTAACTCATTCTGTTATTCTAGGCGTATAGGTAGGTGTGCACCCCACAATTATTATTTCGATTAACAATAATTTTTCTCTTTTATTTCATCACGAGATATTGATAGGTTTATATAAGCGAAAAAAAGAACAAGTTTTGATTTATTAGTTTAAATTTTTCGAGAAAAGAAAAACATAAATAAATAAATATAAATAATTTATTTTTAAAAACTTTTATATATAGACTAATTTATGTTCAATATACTTGTGTATACTATTTTTGAAAATAAATCTTCAAGAACAAGTAGTCTAATAATAATAAACAGGATATTCACTTATTGTTAAAAGAATTCAATAGACTGTATGGTATTACGTAAATGTAGAATGAACGTAATTTTCTTCTTTTATTTTTCAATAGATCACTTGATACCGGTCAAAAAAATATTAAAAATAGATTGGAGTTATTACTAGTACAATGTGTATGATGTTGACTAATCAAGTGACCATAACATCTTTTGTATAAAAAAAACAACTCAAATCTGTTCATTATTTAAGTTTCTTAGTCAAAAATTTAATACTGTAGTATACTTTTGTCTTTAAATTTAGTAACATGTGGTATATTTAAAGATATTTTAAGAAGACTATAAACAGATATGTTCTAAAATATCTCTGAACTTTTTTTAAATCGATATAATTTTTGTCCATAAAAAGGTATTAATCCAAAATCTTGTAAATACCTGTTCAGTTTTTTTACGAAATGTATATATCACTTGTCTCAGATACTGAACTCAATATTATAGTATAGAGTATCGTGTATAGAAAGAAGTTTTATTATCAAGAATAGGCTATGAGAATAATAATTTCAAATGTATAATGGAGAAGAAGAAAAAATTATTCTTATTTTTGTTATTAAGCATCACAACGAAAACAACAATAGAGAAAATCGAGTACTTCTTTCTTTTCTCGCGTGACACTTACGCGTGCCGCAAAGAAAGAATAACGTGAAAAAAGCGAAATCCTTCTATGTGGTCATTTTTTTTTCTTTTTTTTCAAAGAATTTGTTTTACATGTACAGACATACACTCGTACATTGTACAGCAGAAGGTTTTCTATTTATTTTTGTCGTCTTTCGAAGGTGTGTGGACAGAAGATTAGGTATCCGTCGACATGCATACATGAGAAAAGTGAAACCATTCAAATAGTTTTGGTCATTTTCCCTCTCTCTCTCTCTCTCTTTCTCTCTCTCTCTCTCTCTCACACACACACACACACACACACACAGAATGAGTTAAAATGAGATAAAAGAAACACACTATAAAAAAAAAACAGATACGCATAAGATAAGGAAGCGTCCTTGTATCTGTTTTCATTAAAACAAGAG